AATAGCTCTGATACATCTGCTATATATATACTGTATATGTGTATATAATTTTTTATTTTTTTTATTTTTTGTTTTGTTTTGTTCTTAGTGATTAGGCCATTCAATCCAGAAAAATTGTGAAGATGTATCGGACCTTTTTATTTGTTTATTATTTATTTATTCATGATTAGGCCATGCAATCCAGTATTTTTTCTTTTCTTTTCTTTTTTCTTTTCTTTTATTTTCTTTTCTTTTTATTTTATTTTATTTTTATTTTTATTTTTTTTATTTTAGAGAGATGAGGTTAAGAAGGTTAGGATGTCCACTTTTTTTTTATCCTGAAGCAGGTATGCCCAGGCATCATCCTGGACCGGACATTCCCAATTTCTACTCCCTTTCCCCTGGGGGAGTTGGACAGATGACCCCTCCTCTGGGATGGTGAGTGCACACATGGCCAAATGGTAACAATTAAAAGAACGTTTTTTGATGACAACCGTGAAACGAATGGTTTTGAGTGCTCGTCAGCAGATGTATTAGAGCTATTTGTGTAAAGTTGAGACAATAAAATTAGCTACATAGATTTATTTATTTATTTATTTTTATACTTATATATATATATATATATAAGTATAAAAATCAATAAATAAATAAATCTATGTAGCTAATTTTATTGTCTCAACTTTACACAAATAGCTCTAATACATCTGCTGACGAGCACTCAAAACCATTCGTTTCACGGTTGTCATCAAAAAACGTTCTTTTAATTGTTACCATTTGGCCATGTGTGCACTCACCATCCCAGAGGAGGGGTCATCTGTCCAACTCCCCCAGGGGAAAGGGAGTAGAAATTGGGAATGTCCGGTCCAGGATGATGCCTGGGCATACCTGCTTCAGGATAAAAAAAAAGTGGATGAGAAAACGACATTGGCGTGTGTTAGTGTGAAATAGACACATCTGGAGAGCAGCAGTGTGGCATCAGTGGGTGCACACGTTATGTTTCGCTATCAGGTTCTCTCATCACATGGTACCAGGCCCTCCTGGACCCCATGCCACGGGAATCCCCCATCCTGCCATTGTCAACCCACAGGTGAAACATGAACCACAGCACGAAGCAGACCTGATGCACATGTGAGTATCCCATTTAGACAGCATGCTAAAAATACAATCTATGCATTTATGTTCCCTGATAGCACATATATTTACACTGCTTTCATTACTGGCCAATATTTATATTTTATATATATATATATATATATATACAGTGGGTACGGAAAGTATTCACCTGAATCACACTTATAAAAAAAATTCCTTCATATATTCAGGTTTTCCAAGACCGTGTGAATCCTGGCTCTTAGATAAAATGATGCTTATTGAGGGAACCAATTTAAAAAATGTCAGTTTATATGTTGATTTTCAGTTGTTTTCGTTTATTTTAAAGCTTCCCACTGTATATATATATATATATATATATATTTTTTTTTTTTTAAATTTTATATTTATATTTATAATTTTTTTTTTTTCAATTGATTAGTAATGGTTAATATGAGATATGGGCTGATATTGTATATTTATTTGTACTCGTTTCCATTATCTAACATGGTTAACATGGTTAACTAATTATCAGTTAATTTAATAACACTGATAAATGTAATCTTTAGTAAATCTCAAAATGAATATCCATTTTTCATACCGTACACTATAATGTTGTGAACTCCCTTGTAACATTTAAACTAGGCATTAAATGAAAATTAATTCTATACTATAGATCAGTGTTCCTCAAATCCGGTCCTGGAGGGCCACTGCCTGCAGAGTTTAGCTCAAACCCATGATCAAACTCACTTACCTGTGATTTTCTCTGGATCCTGAGGACCTTGAGGGGCTTGCTCAGGTGTGTTTGATTAGGGTTGAAGCTAAACTCTGCAGGGCATTGGCCCTCCAGGGCAAGATTTGAGGAACCCTGCTATAGATCTTATCATGAACAGTTAATCTGTGCATGGTTCATTTTTATTTTTATTTAAAAAATTTTGACCTCATAAAGTTGAATTAAAATATCATAACTGGACTTTTCGGTGAACATGACCCTTCTCTTTGGTATGCAGGGCTCATCCTGATTTTACTTTTAATGTTTTATTTTTAATTTATTCAGACAAATATGTATAGAAATGTATTATTGGCCGTTTATCAGTTATTTTTATTATTGGATTTTTATTATTTTATTATTTATTTCTGATTTTGACTTTGATTAGGGTTGAAGCTAAACTCTGCAGGGCATTGGCCCTCCAGGGTAAGATTTGAAGTACCCTGCTATAGATCTTATCATGAACAGTTAATCTGTGCATGGTTCATTTTTATGTTTATTTAAAAAATTTTGACCTCATAAAGTTGAATTAAAATATCATAACTGGACTTTTCGGTGAACATGACCCTTCTCTTTGGTATGCAGGGCTCATCCTGATTTTACTTTTAATGTTTTATTTTTAATTTATTCAGACAAATATGTATAGAAATGTATTATTGGCCGTTTATCAGTTATTTTTATTATTGGATTTTTATTATTTTATTATTTATTTCTGATTTTGACCAGCCGTGCAGTTGGCTTAAGGTATCAGGTCCAGGTCACTAATGGGAGTGAAATACTGGGAGTTGTAGGGCTTGGGAGTCATAGAGTTGGAGGGAATATGAAGGTTTGGTTGCCATTACTGGTGAAGTAATCTCTTTGCATGAAAGCACCCAACTGGACATAATTAAAAGCCACTGCTAGCTTTTCAGCACTGGCTCCCAGTTTGTTCTCTCATGCAGCCTTCCGATTGGTGGTTGGAATCAGACATTCAGCGCTCTCAAACTCCATGGCGTCACTGTGGCAGCCGCTTTCGCACCACCCCCTGAGCATTTTTTCCCCCTTTGTATTTCCCTGTATCACTTAATAATTCTTCCCCCACTTTTTTTTTAACTCTTTCCTCCTTCTGTTTCTCCAGGAAACCTCATCACGACCAGAGAAAGGAGCAGGAGCCCAAAAGACCTCACATTAAGAAACCTCTAAACGCTTTCATGCTGTATATGAAAGAGATGCGTGCCAATGTGGTGGCCGAATGCACGCTGAAGGAGAGCGCCGCGATCAATCAGATCCTCGGGCGGAGGGTACGTATCTGATTCACGGGTCACTCGCGCCATGAGACCTCCTTCACAAAGGAGTCTATTGTAGTTGGCACTTCTGTCTAACTCAATTTAACAAGTACACCAACACACAAGCTGGCAGCTCAGAAATTCGGGCAGGTAGCGTCTATGTTCCTCCATTTTGGAATTGGAAAAGAGGAACCGTTAAACATATTTAATGCTTTAACCAAAGCCTCTGCGGTTTGAGGCAGCTAGCCACAGCAAAGGACTGTTTTGCGGCAGTGTGGGGTAATTGCACCCTGACATGGTTTGAAGTAAAACGCTGCTAAATTGGAACCAGTGTTTTGATATGAAATCAAAGTTTTTTTTTCTTCCTATCTCTCATCGCTGCATATGTTAATCTCTTCATCATGTTCCATTCCACCCCCAGGCACGCGTGCACATGCACTCGCACACATTTCCCCGCACACACGCAACATTTGAGAGTTAACAAGGATTTTTAGCCAAACGCCAGCACTCATCTCTTTGGAAGGAACTTAAAAGTGCATGTCAGTAATTGACTACCCCCCCCCCCCT